ATGGTTTGGGTTTAGATTAAGGGGTCTTATTTTGCAACGATCCAGGAAATGTTTGCTCAGGATTTGGATGCGAAAGGTCTCTGTAAGGATCTAAGATTATTGTTATCGCGTGACTGATAATCTAAGATCCCGGATAGCATTCTGTAAACTGGTGTCGAGGATACGAAATGCTTATGGTTTGATTCAGAATAGAGTTATATAWTTATCTTATATAAATTTGAAGTTGTATATCAAATTTAAAAAAATGTCCAGCAAAAACTTTACCCATATTAAGAATCGAAAGAAAAACAATTTGGATCTCCACACATGGACAACCGTGTAGATCGAGATGTCACTCAATGTATGTAACATCCTGTTTACTGTTGAAACAAGTTTGATAAAAATGATAAAATGATGTAGTGTTGCTTATTCTTTGGAATAACTGCAGATTTCTCCGAACGAACGAGTTTCCTCAAAGGTTGCTCTTTTTTAGCAAGAATTTTCTCAGCGACATTGTAATCTAAAAATACCAAACTTGAATGACCAATATAACAGCCAACRTAGATCTTCGTTAAACTAAGCACGAAACCATATTTCGAAAGTTTTCAAGTGCAAGTGCTGCACCCCCCATAAAAATGCAGGTTTATCTCAGTGCAAAGCTGGATCCTCTCCCCGAAGAGAGCAAAAAGCATTTGCTTTGAATTTAAGAATGTTAAGTGTCCCTTGAACATTAAATCTATTCCGTTTACATGCTTCATTGGGCGAAAAGAAGCCATTGCTGTTAACTGTACTGTTGACCCTAAATACACGGACGTCAACCGAGTCAAATACATATGTTTTTCATGTGTTCATATTAAATCGTATCTTGATATAATTTTGTTTAAGTTTCAGTCCATTTTTTCAGTATGGGAGTTATCGAAAGATGGCGTGTGAATTTGCATGATTTCGAGTCATTGTCATGGTTCRTAGAATGTTATTTACTTCCAGTATGTGATCATGACTAGCTATACTCTATAATAGTGCGAAGATGAATCCAGAAAGTTGGGAAGCTCGCGCCGAGCACGTCTAAGTCCTGGCCCGATGCAATGCTAAATATGTCAAGATATTGAGTAAAMGTCACTGGATATCTCTCATACATTCTCTTCGGCTACGGTTCACGATGGCTTTTTTTGTCAACCGCTTCAGATCTAAATTTTCAAGGTCTAATACCTTGGATTCTGAGCTAAATGAAGTTCAATCACCAGGTTCTCCGGCGAATATCAACGAGGAGCAGAGCTACTTCGTCGAGGCCATCAGAAGAAATGACTTGGACGTTGTAAAGGAGTTTCTGGAAGGTAAACTTGTGGATGTAAATAGTATTGATCGAGCCGGAAGAACTGGCTTACAGATTGCCGTTCAAGGACAAAACATTGCAATGTTGACTGTWTTACTGGAAAGAGGTGCAGTTATCGGGAATGCATTGCTAGATGCTATTAAAATTGAATGCTTAGATTGCGTGGCTGTTTTGGTCCAGTACGATAAGGAACGTCGACAARCCGATCCTGGTCATACAGTAGAGAGACAGCAGAGCCAACAAAGTAAAAAATCACAAACAAGTCTGCGAAACAAAGTCCTGACACCTCTTGTGCTTGCAGCTCAACTGGGAAACTTTGATATCACGAAGTTTCTATTATCAAACGGGTACGTCATGGANTTTGTATCATGAATTCAATTTAATTTGCGTACCGCTTGCCCGATTTTCTAAATACAACTAAACAGCACTATTTAGTTTGTACAGTTGCACGGATTAAGTGCGATCACTCTACCGCATGCACGATTTACTAAATACAACTAAATAGCACTATTTAGTTTGTACAGTTGCACGGTTTAAGTGCGATCACTCTATCATGCATCGATAAAGAACATTTACAACACGAATATAACTTCAAACGCACAATGTTTTTTCATCTATATTGCAGGGAGCAAAGTGTCGAGCGCGATGTGGAAGACTGGGATGATCCTTACCAGGAGTACAATCACACAACACCAGATCCTCCGTACAAAGAGACACCGTTACCTGTTCATCAGCTTACTCTCCCATTTGAAAAGATTATCTTTGTAGATGATGAATGGGGGCTCACAGAATGCTTGTCGAAAATCTCTAAAGTACGTAATTCTGTATAACACTTATGTTGTATGAAGCGAGATGGCTCGGTAGACTGGGTTGATTTCTTTTGTTTTGCGTCCTGTATGTAGGGGCCAGACGGCTTCATACAATCAGTCCCCAAATGAAGTATGTTAGAAAAAAGTACGAATGTAGCCAAAACTACTGCGCGTAGATCTAAATGTAGTGTTTTGGGTCGGTTGTTTGAAAGGCGCTATCTACCGAATAAATTCTTATCCAGGTAATAAAATCCATACAAAATTAATGGAGTGGAAACCTTTTACGCACTCTTCGTACTTCTGGACCCTGGAGTATTATTCAAGCTTTCGAGCTATAAAATGCAGAGAGAGAACATGACGAAAACGTAAACATTTTATTTCAAAATCTACCAAAATTCCAAAGCGGATTTGTATTTTGAGATTCGAATTTGCGCATTTCAGCAAACCCCCATTTCCATTCGTAAAAGACTACATGGACCACCAAAATAGGCTAAAATAACTAACTTGCAAAATGGCTGAATTGGAACTCGATATTAAGGATTTTTTTAATTTTATCCGGCTCGTATATTATATTTGTAATGAAATGTGTTTAATGATTGCTCACATAAGCCTGGAACAACTCTTGGTTTTGACGCTGAGTGGAGACCAACAATGTGCCGAGTAGAAAGCAATGAAAAGTAAGTTTTGAATTCCTTTTAATATATCTCTGAAGCTTTAACGTCGTATACTGTATACCCAATTCATTGTGGGATATGCTTTGGACAAAACATGGAAGATTTTCATTTGTTTTCTCCAGACACTATCCATAATGCCTGCAAATCACGTATGTGACGTAAAAGCTTATCTTGCAATGAGACTGGACATATATCGTACATTTTAAAAACAGTTGTTTATTATAGACATGTGTTGAACATGTACATTACAAGAGATAAAGTGAATAATGCTCGGTACGGCATTCAGAATGGAGTGGCAATTTTTCAGTCGTCCCTCCTTGTTATGAATTTTAATGTTTTCAATTTCCTTCAGTATTTCTTTAAACACATCTATGTGTATTTTATTAATTATATAGAATTACATAAATTTTATTCTTTTCTTATTTCATTTATTGTACTTGTGATCAATTTAGCTAAATTTAATTATAATCTGTGTCGGCAACATTCTATCATTGTGTAAAATATTTTATTTTATGCAATTATTCCTAAGCACAGAAGGGAGTAACTCGTTCTATACTGAATCATGATTCCCAAACACACTTTATAAAAAATGCTCGAGCAATCGAAAATTAACAGTTAGAATGTACTGGTACGTATTTTCATTTCAAATTTCTTAAATCATTGACTTTTYCATTCAATTCCGAAAGTCTTCGAGTACTTTCCATTCAGATTAGATGTATAACACCGATTATACCACCAGGCACCGGTCCAGAATGTAGCACAGTTATAGTATCACTGAACTGGTCGTTATCTCTATCTTTTGTACTAAACGCCATTAGTTGTACGCATTTTCATTTCAGATTTCTTAAAACTTTTATAGTTTCTATGAAAATGCCACCAAGTAATTCCTTTCTCCGACACCTCGTTTCCACGGTACTTTCCATTCAGATTAACATGATGACAACCATTATACCACCAGGCACCGGTATATGATGTAGCACAGTTCTTACTCCATTTGTCGTTATCTCTATCTTTTGTACTAAACGCCATGTTGTTATGATATTTTAACGAGTCCCCAGCAGTACCTGAATACGAGCCAACCCTCAGCCTGTACTTGTCTAATTCATCACCAACACTAAAACTACCATATTTGGCATATATCCTAGTTCCGTCCCAGTCCTCTAGCTCAACGCGGAGACTCGACGCTGTTCTTGTTGTCTGTCTATGGATGTATTCGTTGCCCAACCAAAACTCGCCATTCAGGTTTCCAAAACCTGTTTTGTATTGTTGCCAATTGCGATAGAAATCGACCGATCCATCCTTTCTTCTCTGGAACACAGTCCAACCCCCACCGTCAGTTGTCATGTCACAGTAAACTTTAAACGCGTTCTGATTGTCAGGTTTCACTGTATATACACCGTTACGTCTCTCTCCTGACTTATAGAGTTCTGCGCAATTTAAAGGAACATTCACTGTCAATGCTGTCCTGGTATCTGTATAAAATACACTTGCACTTGTAGCTGTACACTCGTACACACCCGAATCTGTTTTCTTGACGTTCCTTATAATCAAAGAGCCATCTCTCACTTCATATCTACCAACAGGAAGAACGCCGTTGTCTTTTCTCCAACTGATGACAGGCTGAGGGTCACCTTTAGCGGTACACTTTAACACTACAGTTGTCCCTGGAGACGATCTGTGTGACGATGGAGGTTTGACAACAAACACAGGAAGATCGATAACATTTACCATAATAGATCCTATAACAGAACCAAGAAGGTTTTCAGTTTTGCAAACATATGTGCCCGAATCATACTTCTTCGCATTTCTTATCGTCAGCTGTCCATCCTTGACATCAGAGCGATTATTTGGCAACGAGCCAATGGACTTAGACCACGTGACATTTGGTTTAGGGAATCCAGTCACGTGACACGTGGGTAGGCGAATGTCATCACCAATCTTTCTGTAGATTGGTCCTTTGTCCAAGGTCAGTATTGGGCGGAAGTTCACTTGAAGTTTCGCTGTTGTCTGTGTGCTGCCAAGAAGATTAGAAGCCTTACACTGATAGATTCCTGAGTCATTGGTTGTCACGTGTTTGATATCAAGTTTGCCAGTGCTATCAACTACTGCTCGTTTGTGTGGTAATGTACCGTTGTTTTTACTCCACACAACATCAGGTCGAGGATAACCACTAGAGGAACAATGTAAGATGGCGGACTGGCTTTCATTGACGATG